CATGCTCATGGCCATCCCAGTGTGGGCCTACTGAGCTCAGGCAATCCTTCCACCTCAGCCTTCCTAGTAGTTGGAACTACAGGCATGCGCTACCATGCCTGGCTAAATTTTTTTTTTTTTTTTGAGATATTGTAGAGACGAGGTCTCACCAAGTTGCTCAGGCTGGTCTCAAACTCCTGGGCTCAGACAATCCTCTCGCCTCAGCCTCCCAAAGTGCTGGGATTACAGGTTTGAGCCACTGCGCCCAACCCTTACTTTTTAATGGTTCTCTGCGAAACAGCATGTATTTTTTTTTAATGCCAGAAATTAAGACACCAGAAGTGTTGCAGAGAGAAACAGTGATCCGTCCATGAGATAAAGTCATAGAGAAATGAGGAGTTATGACCTAGGAGCAAGCAGGCAACAGCAAAAATAAGGTTAAATGGGTAAAAATAATCTGATGTCACAAGATTCATTTTAGGAAGGAAGAAGAATGGTTTGAAGCACTGCTCTCTTATAAAGCACAATGCCTGGTTGAAGACAGCCTCTTCTCCCACCCACTTCACCTCCTGTCTCCCTCAGAGGACTCAAGTTGGAGATGAAGGGAAGTTGGTGTCTGTACTACAGACACTGATAAAGAAGTCATCGGATGAAGCATCTGTGGAAGCAGCCCTGTGCTTGGGTTTCCTGAGGCCTTGCAGCAACATGGCCCAAGAGTTCCTGTTGCAGTGCCTATGCCAAGGGCTCAAGACCCAGCGGATGAAGGTGTGAGGGGCAGAAGGCTGGGATCTCCAGGGAGAGAGGTCAGTGCTGAATTGGGTGGGGTCTAGATCTTGTCATGTTGGTGGTAGAGCATTATAGGGTCCTCTGTGTTTATAAATAAGTTTGAGTATGGGGTCATGTGGACATATAAGTGTATATGTGCCTGTGTGTATTTGACAGGTATGGGTGTTCATTCATGTATGAATACCCATGAACTTGTATTCTCACTCAAGAAGCCAAGAGGCAAGAAAAGGACCCCACCTGTTCCTCACCAGTCCTAGGCTCAGTACACAAGTCCACCTGGCCATCTAGATACATCTAGGCTTTGTACACCCTGCCCCACCCAACCCTTTGTAGGCACTTAGGATGCTGGTCAAGATGATGCATGTGCACTCAGCTACAGTCATCAGAGCCATCCTAGACCAGCTGTGTTCCTCCAGTGTTCTTGCGGTAAGCTCTAGGCTGCCTTGTTACCCTTCCTTTCCCAGCACTTATACCCTTCATCCCCGGCTGGGGGATGAATAAGGGAATCTATCTTTTACACCTTCTTCACTCCTGACCTCAGGACCGCTTTGAAGCCACCCAGATGCTCAGGAGCATTGGGCTGGAACAGATCCAGGTACAAGGGCTAGAGGAACTCACATTTGACCTGCTCAGGAGGCAGACACATAAAGAGCCCTTTTTCGTAAGTGAGACCAAAGCTCCCAAGCCCTGACAGCCCAATCCTGTCTCTTCTCCCTTCTCTGGAGACCTCCTCTGGCTTAGCTACCACCACAGCACCTCCTCCCCAAATTTCACATTCACCCTAACCTACTCCCTTGGTCTGCTAACGCAGCCTACATTTTCCAAGTCACCTTTCCTTTGCTCTGACAGTTCTCTTAGCTTAAAATGCCCCAAATTGTCCCTCCTTCTTCTGTACGATACTATTCACTCCCACTGATAAGTAACCCCCCTCTTCTTCTGCCTATTAGAATACAATATTACTTCTTCAAGCTTTCTCAACATCTCCAAAGGGATTTTCCCAAATCACCAATCAGATTCAAACCTGCCTTCCTCTATGTTCCTTTGCTTTTATCCTCCCTACTGCTCATTATAAAACTAGTCATAACATTTAAAGACATTTTTCTAAAATGTAAATCAGATTGCATCTTACCTCTGCATAAAACTTTCCATTGGCATTCAAGGCCCTCAGAATGGTTTATATTGCCTATACAACTCAAGCCCTGCTTAGCTCTCTAGCTTCATCTCTCACCACTCTTCCTCTTAGAACTACACACCAACTATGCTTCGGACAACCACGTCCTGACTGATAAGCTGTTGTCCCAGTGTGATTGCTCAGAGTGCTCTGAAGAGTCTGTTTGGTCATCTCACCAAGCTGAACTATTCTCAGTTCTCCAAGCTCTACACTTCTCTGGCCCCTAAACCTTTGTACATGCTCTCCCTCTGCCCCTAAAATCTGCCCACTCCTAACCCTCTGCCTTATCAGCTCCCATTCATCTTTCAAGTTTTAGCTCAGGTATCATCTCCAGGAAATCTCCTCAGCACTAAAGACTGAGTTAGGAGACCCTATGTGTAACTTACATAATACTGTGATTTCCTGCTTGTCTGCTTCCTTCACCAGACTGTGAGCTCCTCAAGGCAGGGACCCTATATAGCACAAAGTGCATGTTCAATAAAGGTTTCTGGAACACTTAAGTCTACAGCTCTACATTCCCTCTCTCTGTTGTCCCACTTTGATCCCTCTGCAGGCTATGAGGCAGGCTGTGGCTGAAACTGTGGAAGAGCTCAAGATGAAGCCTATAATGATGAACCTGGTAGAGGCGTGAGTAGCCTGCGCTGGGAGCTGCCAGGACCAAATCCTAGGCTGTAGGAAGGAGGCAGAGGGTCAGCAGGAGCTTGCTGGTTCTCAGCTTCCCCTCACCTGTGCCCCTGACCAAATCACTCTTTGGCTCCTGGGCTTTTGTTCATCTGCAAAAAGAGGCTAATAATACCTACCACTGAAGGTTGCTACAAAGTGCAAACTAATAATGATAATATGACATGAAAATAACTTTTAAAAGGTAAAGTTCTGGACAGATGTGGCTTCTGATCATCATTGACTGTCTCCTGGCAAACCGTAGTACCTTTTTTCCCCTTCCCTGACCCTTCCTGACCTAAATAACAAGAGAGGGAAATGAATGAAATTAGTATCACCTGGCATTATGCCCAAATCACTGTGGACCTAAAAAGCAACCAGCCTTCCTCCCACTCCCCCACCCCTTATTGAACCACAACATACTCACTCCCTTCTACACAGGCAACTGATGGACCCAAACACCACTAAACGCCAGGAAGCGGTCATCTCTTTGGTAAGACTGGTTCTGTTTCTCTGACCCAGTTCCTGAGATGTGTTGATGGCAGGGGGAGTAGGTGACTGAGTAGAGTCACCAAGAGGAAGAAAGTCTATAAAGTTTGGGAGGTTGTTTATTTTAGAATTCCAGCCCTACCAAGCATCAGGTAACCTTTTTTTCAGGGCTGGCAGTGGGTGGGCTAAGGGACAGGAGATGGATGTGAGGAGTGTTGCTTAGATATTGCAGAAACTGTCTTGACTCCTCCTGGAAAATAACGGGCATTGATAACCCATGTGGTAGTCCCAAATGGCAAGAAAAGAAATATCTTTTTTTTTTTTGAGTTGGAGTCTCACTCTGTCGCCCAGATTGGAGTGCAGTGGCTGCTCCCCAGTCACCGCAACCTCAACCTGCTGGGCTCCAGAGATCCTTCCACCTCAGCCTTCCAAGTAGCTGGAACTACAGGCGCACGCTACCACACCCGGCCAATTTTTTGATTTATTGTAGAGATGAGGTCTCACCAAGTTGCCCATGCGGGTCTCGAACCTGCGGGCTCAGACAATGCACTCACCTCAGCCTCCCAAGGCGTGGGATTACAGGCTGAGCCATTGAGCCTGGCTGAAAAGAAATATCTTAGCTGGGAAGCCATATCTCCTCTTTTGGGCTTCAGAGCCTCACAAAAGGAATAGAATGGGAAAGGGTATAAGGCATCTTCCTGGGGCTGGCTATTTAGGTACTCTACTGTGCCTCTGCCAGGGCGTTCTGGGGATCCGCAGCCCACAAGTGTTCCACTTGCTTCTGGACATGCTAGACACAGAAAAGCACCAGGTTGTGAAGAACAGTGTAAGGCCCACCTCTTCTTCTTCTCTACCCCTCCTCCAATCCTCTGACCCACCTCACTATTTTCTCATCAGGAGGTCAAACAAATGAACCCTCAGACACTGTCCCTTGACCTTGTTCCTTGGGGTGATCATGGCATGCGGCTAGCGCTTCCCCTCCCTTGGGTGCTCCCTCTCCTCCCAACGTGAGCCCAAAGTAAGCCAGCGCTATGGCCTTTGTTTCAATGCAGCTACAAGAAACATTAATCCTGCGTACCTCAGTTGATTCCTGGATCCAAAACAAGCTGAAAAACAAGATTTTCATTGTACATGAGGCACCTAAGACCGATGTGAAGGCTGAACCTACAAGATTCCAGAAGGAGCCTGAGAATCCAGAAGAATTAAATATCCAAGATTTTCGACTTGTAAAGCTGAACCCATTGTGTTTTACAAAGCCCAGCACCAAAGTAGACCAAAAGAAAAAGGTGCCTGCCTTCCCATTCTGTTGCTCTAAACCACAAAAACACAGGCCACAGGCTCCAGGGCCCTGGCAGCCAAGGATCAGGAAATAACTCTGAATCCTTGCTGAAACCGCCAAATAAGTCAGCTCTTTGAGCCTACCCCCCACTCCCTCCTTGAGAACATTTCTCAGGCTCCCCTGAGAGAACAATCTATACTTATCTTCCATGAATAAACGAGGATCACTCCACCCACCACGCCTCTCAGAATCACTGTTGACTCTTCTGTTCCCTTCATCAGAAGCTGCATTGGAACACAGGTCTCACTCCTGCTTGAGTGTTCTTTCCACTCAGCCATGTCTTTTCACTGGAGGAAAGAGGGAAAGACAGAGCCAAAGCTTCTCTGGATGGCCAGCCTGCCTCTCTAAATCAAGTCTTTATCTGTGCCCGTAATTTGATGGCAAAGCTACAGAGGAGTTTCTGCCTAGAAAGGGTTGCTGAGGGAAAACAAGGAGAAAATGCTAAAAAGCTTAAACCACCTTGTCCCACTCCACCTCCACCTCCCCGTCAGTAGACAGAAGACAGTTACGTTTTAATTAGAACTACCTATCCTCTTTGTTGTCTCTTCTACCTAGGTAACTACTTTCTACCTACCTTGGGGTCATTCCCTTTGAGAGACCCTATTTACTCTCTAAAACTGCCTTAATTTCTCTCTCATTTCTACTGAAGCTTCAGTTTCCCTTTGCCAATAGGATCTACCATACAAACTCCAACAAGCTACAACCCCTATCAAGAAGAAAAGTCCATACTTTGGAGTTAGGCAAATCTGTTATTTAATCCTAGGGCTCATCTCTTATTTGATCTTTGACTTTGGACAAGTTATTAACTTTCCTGATTCTGTTTCCTCACCTGTAAAATGAAGAGAATGCCCACTACCTCAGAGAGTTCCTATAAGAATTAATATAAAGCTTAATAGTGCCTGGCATTACATAGTAAACACTCAAATATGAACTTTCTCCCTTTTCCTCTCTTCAGTATTGTCATGTGCACCTATGACAACCAGAGGTTTAAAAAGACTGTCTTCTGAGAATGCTCATTTACTTCCTCAATCCTCCTGAAGTGATCTAATGAGAAGTAAGTTCTTTCCCTCAAGCATAGAAAGGTCAAGGTAAAATAGATGCTCCCTTCCACTCCCCTGCACCCTAGGTTCTAGAGTAGTTCAGTTATTCTAAATTCACTATAAATTGAGTATCCCTAATGTATAAATCCAAAATCCAAAATGCTCCAAAATTTGAAACTTCTTGAGTGCCAACATGATACCCAACGGAAATGCATATTAGAGCATTATGGATTTTTGGAATAGGGATGCTTAACCAGTAAGTTTAATACAAATGTTCAAAATCCAAAAACCTACAAAATCAGAAATATTTCTGGTTCCAAATATTCAGGAGAAGGGATATTCAACCTCTATAGCCTGTCATTCAGATTGATCTCCCAACCTGCCCTCCACTTCTAGATGCATGTTTTGCCTCACAGAGAGCTATAAGTAAAAAAATCAGAGTGGTTTCACTATTCCAAAGTATAAGCAGCACTCCATGGGAATCCCTCTACTATTTTGGCACCAAAGACCAAAGATAGGAAGGTTGTTCCTCTTTTACCCACTCTGCAATTTTGGGCCCAGGAGCAATATGACTCAAATTTCCAGGCTCTCAACTTCTATAAAATCCTGCCCATAGATCTCTAATCCCTCTTCCATATTTCTGGATGTCTTATTAGTCAGTCCAATCCCAGTTTCTGCCCAGTAGTACCTCAATTCTAATTTCAGCAAGCCTAACCAAAAGACTTAAGACAGCAGTGAGCATAAAGGTCTTCACAGAGCATCCACTACCTGGTACACAATCAGTATACCAGAGCCTCCCCAGTACTAAAGCTGCCTAAATCAAACACCCTTATAGAAGTATGCTTAATCTAAGTAATGACCAGCTTCTCCCTTGGGAGTTCGAAGATGCCGACTCACCTCAACCACCAGGATCTGTTGGGACTGAACCTTGAATACCATTCAGAATATTAGCCTCTCTCTTCTCTCTTCTCTGACCCAAACCTTTTTTTTTTTTTTGACTTGGAGTCTCACTCTGTCGCCCAGACTGGAGTGCAGTGGCTG